ATAATCAACTAAGCAAACAATGCCATATATGCAATTGGGCATTGGGTCCTATGCTAGCACACCATCATCACCAAACTCTTATAGGTACTTGTTGGTGCTATCATTGATTCTCAACTACAAGTAAGGCTAGATCATTTTGTGTCTCTAACCACATATATAATGCATGTTCATACAGAATCTGAAACCTTTGTTTTATTATTACAGGCTAATTTTTGTAGTAGTAACTATTTTGAGCCAAGTTTATTCATCTGATATGATGGCATCTTACTTGGATCATAAATATCTTATAAACATAAAGAGATGATTATTTTTTAAAATATCTCATGAGAGATCTCATATTAAAAATAAATCAAAATTAAAATAAATATTGTTTTTAATAAAATTTGTCTAGATACCCATGGGAGTCTCTCATTTTAATTAAATATTTTATATATTGTTATTTTTAAAATTATCTATATAGCAAGTTCCACTATGCATAAAAATATAAATTATATATTAACATTATTTAATTGATATTATTTAAGGTTAATATGAAATATTAAATTAATATTGTTTTAGTTTATAAAATAATATATTATTAAAAATGAGATTTTTAAAATTAAAAGTTATGTTTTAAAATATTTAATATTATTTTTAATTTATTTTACATAAAACTAATACAAGCTATAAAATTAATATTGTTTTAGTTAATACAATTTTATAATAATTAAAAAAATTGGGATTTTAAAATTAAAAAGTATATTTTAATATGGAATATGATAAGTTTAAAAATATTAATAAAATTATAACATAAATTTTAAATTAAATAATATTAAAATACTAATATTTTATTGATGAGATACTCATTGAGTATCTAACTAATGAAAGTGATATTAAGTTGTGAGTCTTTCAACTTAAAATATATTAAAAATAGTTTTATTATATTGGTGAGAGACCGTTGGGATATTACATCTTTATTGGTAGTACTAAGACCATCTCCATTGGTAAGAACCCCTTAAAAAAATTTTAATATTTAGTTTAACATTAAACTAAGTTAAGAACCACATTTTCATTTTGCAAAAAAATTCTCCTCCATTGGTTAGAATCCCTAAAAGATTCTTAAGAATTTGGCATACTACCTCCACCTATTGCTAGTCTTTTGGCATGATCGTTAGCCGCATGCTAAACAGCATCATGATGTTGAGCAATTGCTAGAGCATCTGGTAACGAATCTGTATTCAGAGCCGGATCTGAGGGGAGTTTTTTGAAACATTTGAATGGTGCTCCCAACTTGTAGGAGCCCCACTTAAAAAGAAAATTTATGTATTAATTTATTAAAAATATGTTAATTTAATGGAAAAATGAAGATTAAGTGAGATAGTAAAAAATATTTTTGTGAAATCTATTATTTTGTGAGACTATATGATAAAAAGTAAAAATTTTGAATATGTTTTTTCATAAGTTTATTCAAATAAGTAGACATGCTTATATTTTTGTTTAAAAAAATCAGACTTTTTGAAAAAATATATTTAAATTAAATGTTAATTTTTTTTTCCGTATGGGACCGCGAGAATCTCAGATCCGGCTCTGTCGGTATTCGGACTCTTCCCACTTCTCCCTTTGGAAAACTCAAGGTGCCTTGCCGCCTAAACTCTCAAGTTACACACATGAATAAAAAAAACACAACTTCAAGGGTATTATATGAAACTTGGAAGAACATATACCAAGTAGTAGCGACTCATCACTCTGACATAACGTTTAAGTGCTGGCCTACTTGTAAAATATCCAGTCCAGTAAGCATTTATACGGTCTGCATAACTGAAGTAAATATCCCTAGCATTTATACGATCAATGAGTTAAAAAATTTAAGACCCAACTCACGGGAAATAGTCCTCTGTTTCCAAGGGCCAAGCCTCATTCGCCGCATGTTTTGCACTGTATATATGGAAGGAGTAGAGTAGAGAGCATTGATACGCCCATCCTAAAATAATTAAGGGTCCAAGAATTAGAGATATCTCGTTTGTTGGTATCCATTTTGTTGACAATAAATCCACAGAGACAAAAGCTGGAGACATAAAGAGGAACATAATAATTTAGACAGATCTTTGAATGACTTACGAGGTTAACATAATGAAGAAGCTTGTCCATTTGTCGAAACCAGGTGTATGCATACTGGTACCTGAAATCTGTCCCCATGGTAAACATGATGTGATTCGTTCGAGTAGTGTTGGCCTGCAGATACCAAGAAACATGTCACATAAATGTAAACAGAAAACTCTACCCAAAAAAGAAACATTCTACAAATCTACCTGATCCAAAGCTGCAGCTACAAAGGCCTTAATTCGGTCTTGAACATTGTAATCAAACAAGTGGGGATTATCCTTCACGGATTAAGAGCCAAACTTATCATAGGAATAGAATAGATACAACAGAAATGGTAGAGAAACCATTACAAGGAGCTTAAGCATAAGCATCTAATACGCATCTGGATTCCAATTCAATCATCATCCACACATTAATAGACCTCAATGATTCCTATGATTCCAGTTCGGCATTACACAGACATGAACACATTTGTCAAGAATACAGATCCTGAGGCTACCATTTTCTAGCTACTAATTAAATTAATTCAGCATCAGTAAAGCAAATGATTAGAGATAGACTCAAATAGTCATTCCATACCAAAAGAGAGAAACATCACTTACCAAAAGATCCCTTCACATAACTATACACCCAATTCAAATCGTAGGGGACTTTCAAATTCCAAACCAAACCTAATCACAAACATCACTAACATAAACCAGCAATCAATGATAAAGCAAGCCAAGCGAATTGAGTTTCACAAAATCATTTTTCATTATTATTATTTTTTTTTAACTTAAGAACCTCAGTTTAGAACCCCTCCAATGGAGGTGGTCTAATATCTCTGATATGAGGTGGATATGGCTTGGGATAAAGATGTTCTTGGAAACTCTATCCCAAGAATGCCTCGATAACTACTACTCATTGATAAATTAAAATTAAAGGAGAACCAACTTTAACAAAAACGAAAAATTAACCCAAAAAAAACAGAAGCAGCCCTTATTGTTTTGTGTTTTGTTGTGGAGAGCATATAAAACTTTAATGGAGTCTTTCTTTCTCTACTCAAAAGCTCAGTCTTCTTCTGTGTATTTTCCTCAAAACTACCAAACTAAAGCTAGCAGCTAAGAGACACAACACACTTTGTCTTTTCAGAGTTCGTCCTTGGCTTCCTCTGTTGTCTTTTCTTCCTCCTTCTTAGTCTCTCCAGCTGTGTCCTTGTTCTTGTCGATGAAGCTTATGATGTCTTCCTTTGTCCTGTCTCCTTCGTAAAGCACAATGTTTCCGCTCGCTGATCTGAAGTAAATGGTCGGGAAGCCCTTCACATCGAATGTATCATGTGGGAAGTCGTTTGTGGTTGCGTCCTGGATAAGCAAGCGAAAGAATGAGAAACTCGGTAAGTTAAAAACAACTGCAGAGGATCACTTAATGCATTACTCTCGATCAATGTGAAGACTTACTAGCTTAGCTATGACAACGCTTGTGTCGCTGCTTTGGTACGACACAGCTACTTCGTCCAAGATTGGAGCAAGCTTTTGGCAGTGTCCACACCATGGAGCATAGAATTCAAGCAACACTGCAAGTAAAAAAGAGGAAATAAAACTTGTTTTTATGTGTTTTTTTTGCTACAAGGAAACAGGTGTTTATGATGATTTGATTATTAATGTTATGCAACTCACCGTTCTTTCCAGAGTTGAAGACCATGTCGTCAAGGCTCTCAGCAACAACAACCTTCACTGGCTCGTTGTTTTCGGTTGGGATAGGTTGAGATTTTTTGTGTTGGGAAACTTTTCCATCCTTGTAGTCCTTGATCCATGATTCAATCTGGTCAACCTCCACATTTGTTTTCAGGTATTTCTTGTCGTCAGCAGTTTGGATGATGATGAGAGGAACTTGGCTCTCTTCGAGTCCAAAGTACTGTCATTGGTTCATAAAACAGAGAAATTTGCTTAGCATTTTGTAACGAACAAGGGATAAAACAACAATTGGGGGTTAAATAGGCGAGAAAGACTAACCTGGAATGCGCCTTGGCTGTTCTCAGCATCACCGAGAAGGAAGCTAAGTCCCTGCCCCTTGTTGGATGTAGCAACTTCATGGTACTTTGATTTAAGAGACTCAGCTCCTTCTCCAGTGAAGTTGGTGAACAACATTACCTGAAACTCAAAATATTACCCACCATCAAAACCAATAGGAGATTGGGAAACAGGATCAGTGAGGAACCGGGAAGCTTGTAGTGATAATATTCAAAACGAAAACTATAAGGACACTAATGTCCAGATTCAGCTAATATACATCACGCTACCACAGCTCCTTCCATAGCCAAAACATAATTCAGTCAAGCTCTATACCACCATCAGCAACATCAACTCATCTCAATAAATCTATAAATGAAACATACTTATCCGGTAAAATTGAAAGGCATAATTCTATAAATCCATTTATGTGGTATCCAGCATGATGGGATTAAGATCTTTGGTTACTCTAAGATGAGTTTACCTTAGTATTAGGACTGTCAAAGAATTTGATAACATATGCGTGGTTGTTTGGATCTTTGTCAAAGACGGTGACAAGTGGAATGCTTGATTCTTTGACAAATTTCTCCAGAGCTTCCCCATCGAAGTCCTGTATGCATCAAAGGTAAATTAAACAACCATTCTGCAAGAAACAGGAACACTAATCCATGCAATATTAAAAAAAAAGTGAAAGGCTTTTTCTCTTGTACCTTGGAATCAACAACCAGTTCATCAAAAGGTTTGAATACCCTGACTACAGGTCCTGTCACAGACTCTCCACGAGGAAGAAGCTTGGCATCTGAGGTGTGTGCGAAATCATAGTCAGAGCGCAATTTCTCAGCAATGGCCAAGAAAGAATCGAACTCGGAGCCAGATAATTTAGGGAAAACACCAACCTAAAACCAAAAGAAATTGAAGTTATTTTAACTTCCATTATATATGATGAAATCAAGAAACAGAGACAAAGACAAGGAACATGTTTGTGAGACACTTACCACAACCACCTTCTTCTCACCAACAACTTCAGTAGCAGCATCAGCTGACTTAATCTCAAACGAAGCAGGTCCGCTTTGTTTCTTCAAGTAAGTAACAATACCTTCCGCTTCACGAGGACCATTGTATTCTTGAACAACTTTTCCTCCATTTCTGAAAATCTTGATTGTTGGGAAACCTTGAACCTCGTATTTGGTTGTAAATTCTCTGTTTGTTTCCTCACTTGCATCAATCTTAGCTAAAACCACCGGAGGGTCATGACTGCTCAATTCTGATGCAGCTTTCTCGTACTGTAAAACAAAACATAATCATAACCCATTAGTGAAAACCTGTAAATCTCCACATGCAAAACTTAGTTTAAGTGATTGAAAAAAAAAAAGCTTTATTACCTCAGGAGCAAGCTGCTTACAGTGTCCACACCTGAAGAAGAAGAAGAACATAATACGGATTAACATCAAATTACTTTCACATACCAATTACATATGAAATTCAAAATCAGACGAGTCAATTTACATAGATCGAAACAGATCAAATCGTTCAAATTACAGAATCGCAACGAAATTCATGCCTTATAAAACAGATCAGCTACGTCAATTCAAATCAACAATCGTTGAATAAGAAATCATTGGCATGCAAAATCAGATCAGATCGAGGTGGAAAGAAAAAAGGGATGGATCCACCATATTCACGAATCATGACACACACAAAAAAACCCATCACATGAATACGATTAGAGAAGCTAATAATCAAATCACAGTACCATGGAGCGTAGAACTCGACGACGATGAAATCGTGCTTTTCAATGGTTTCGCTGAAGTTAGTGTGATCCAAGGTCAACACGAACTCCTTCGTCTCCGATTGTTCGCTTCTTATAGACGAAGCGAACAACGACAATATAAGGATCGAAAACAAAGCAAATCTCCTCATCGCCATTATCGCGCTCTCTCTCTCTCTCTAAGCTTCGTTCTGAATTCCGTAAGCTCTGTGAGGAGGAAGCTTTGAGAGATATTTATCAAGCGCATTTCACTGGTTATCACGAAAACTGAATGCTCCTAAATGGTCACACATCGACGTGGCGTACTGTCATTGGATTTTACGTCGTCATAGTTACACAGTGTCTTGACCTTGGCGGTTTCAATTCACTTTGTTTATTTGTCTATTTTTTTAACCAGCAGTGAAAAGTAAAAAGGAGAGAAAATTGTCTACACCGCAGAAACACAGTCTAGCGATCCGCACCAATCACGATATCGGAGAAACACGTGGTTACTTCTCATTCGTTCATCTTGATGTGACTTTGAGATCTCAGATTCAGATTCGGGACTTTGTGCAAGTAAATGGTCATATATAAAAACGTATTAAATCTGACCAATTATGTTTGATTTCTTGCCATTATTATTATGGCTCTTAATTTTTATTATACATCTTCTTGACCGTACTTCGAATTTTAGTAGTATATTCTAGTTTCTTATAAGCATATAAATCTAAGATCTGAGACCTTAAACAGAAAAAAAACTAATTAAGCAAGGAACCAATCAATGAATATATAAATGTTAACATATGTACAACAATTTTCCTAAACTGAATGTAATCTCATTACCAAAAATCATGAAGAAGAAGACTGAGGCTGTTGTTGAGACGTAACATGTTCATGAGCTTCAAAGATTGGAACTAAACCAGCTTGTAAGCTGCTTGAAGTTTAATGGTTTCTTTGTGCCTTGCTCTCTCTCTCTCCTTCTAGCTTCTTCCTCATTGAATCCAAATCATCTAAAGCCGAAATCCCGCTCTCAGACAAGACCACACTTCTCTCTGATGCACCGTCTTGTAGCTGATCGTTTCTCATTCGAAGATCATTCAACCGTTTCTCAAAATCATGCGAGACGTACTCTCTGCCTTTGCTCCTCGTCTTGTCTCTCCCATAGTTCATGCAGGCTTGAGGCAAAACCTATCATCGTGTTTGTAACGTTCTCTCCAGAGATTCTCCCAATTGCTTCTTGCCAATCTTTGCAAATGACGAAAACTTGTGGAGCTCCAATACGGCTAGGAGAGAAAAGAGCGATTCCGTCC